TTGAAACTTGCTACAGTTCACATTTGGATTGTAAAAATTCTTACCTCCACCCAAGGTCCAGGGATGGGGGACAGTTTCAAACAACTTTCTTAAACGTCCTAACAGTTTACTCAGTGTTGACATGCCCCTAACATAGCAAGATGGCAGGCAATTTGTTACTGTCTAGGCAGAGTCTAGACGCATCAAACTCTATTTTCCAGAAGCCTGTATTGACATCAGTTGACTATGCATCTCCAGAATCTAGCTCTTTTTTTGGAAAGAACTAGCAGGAAAAGAGAAGTGCTCCCGTTTACACGTGGCACGTGAAGAGTCACTTTTCAGAACTGTTCATTTAAGTCACTTCATTATGACTTTAACATCATGGATAGAAAAGGTACAAGATAAGGACTTTAGGCTTGCCTCTGTTTATTGACATTTTACATAATTCTCAATGTAGGGGCATTTTTTGATGAAGGGAGTAAAAGAACAAAAAAACTTTTTATTCAACTATAATGACTTTGTATTTTAAACCACCATGCACAGAAAGAGGAAGCAGTGAGTGGGACATTCCATGTGAAATGGAATTTAAATCTGTTAATAAAAGTATTAATCAAATATATAATTTCACTTCTTATAGAAGAAATAAAGTAGAAAGATCATGCGAACAGCCTGGAAATTTTCTCCACAGCTTATGTTTTGAGCACAGGAATGTATTTACACTGTATGCATGAAGCAAATTGCTCATTTTGGAATGGACTGAAGCGAATTCAAAACACTCTGGCAAAACCGAGGTTTCACAACATCATTTTATCACCATATGTAGCCTGGATATGTAACCTCCAAATTTGGAAAGTAGTAAATGTCTAATAAAAGGGAAGGGAGGAAATTACATAAGAAGAACAGAGTAGAATTAGAATCCAGAGCATAGTTAATTCAAGCTGATGGCTTCAAGCAACAATCTAAAAATAAAGCGCTAGAAACAGAATAGCAAGCTGCACTACCCAAGATCACACTGGCTGCAGAAGCAAAGCTCTGTAATTGTATACAGACGATTAGGAAATATTTTGTAAGGTTATCTTTACAATTTTTAAGGCTTATACTTTATGACACATGTTCACAATATTTAGGCGAAAAGTGAAATTAAAGAAAAATAAAGCAATTAGGAAGCAAAGTGAATGAAAGCCAGATCCCTTTATAAAAGGGAAATTAAATCCATATCCCCCTATTCCCAGACCTTAAATTTCTCAGATTAGGGCACATGTAATGGAAAAAGGGAAATTAAGTAGGCACTGTTTGATTGGAGAATGAATTACAGAGAATTCTAAAGAAGTAAATAGAAATGATCCAAACAAGAAATTAAAGGGAACACAGAGCATAGTCAGACATCAAAGAGTTAGGTATGATTTCTCTTTGCAAAGAAACCCACATTTCTCCCACGTTGTTCTCTTATAAAACTATGTCCACTATTCTTGTATTATTAAGAAAAGTTCTTATTGTACATATACAGTTTTAATAAAATGTTCTCATTAGCAACTGGCTTCCTACCTCTCTGACTGCTGCCTGCCTGCATAACCTCTTGGTTTAGGAACTCAGGAGGGCTGGGAAAGATGATGCTGGAAGGTTCTTCATTCCAGTCCAGTTGCCTTGGGGATCAATGCAGCCTCAAAGAAGCTGCATTTACTGCCACAGTGGTTTCTTTACAAAGAAACCAGAGGCTGTCAATGTGTACAAATGGATCACTAGAGGATTGAAGGAACAGCCCTTCCTTCATGGAATCTGTAATCCCTTTTTCACAAGGTCAGGATTTAGGGCTCATGATCTCATGGACGGTCGATGCCACAATTCCACTCTGTTGCTTCTTTCTTTCTTCTTTTTTTTTATTGGAGTAAAATTGCTTTACAATGTTGTGTTAGTTTCTGCTGTACAATGAAACGAATCAGCTCTATGTATACCTATATCCCCTCCCTCTTGGACCTCCCTTCTCCCAAATTCCCCGCCCCACCCACCCCCCACATGTTAGGTCACCACAGGGCACCGAGCTGAACTCCCTGTGCCATACAGCAGGTTCCCACGAGCTAGCTATTTTACATGTGGTAGTGTATTTATGTCAAACCTAATCTCCCAATTCATCCAACCTTCCGCTTCCCCACCTGTGTCCACAAATCTGTTCTCTATGTCTACGTCTCTATTCCTGCCCTGCAAATAAGTTCATCTGTATCATTTTTCTAGGTTCCACATATATGCGTTAATATACGATATTTGTTTTTCTCTTTCTGGCTTACTTCACTCTATATGACAGACTCTAGGTCCATCCACATCGCTACAAATGACCCAATTTTGTTCCTTTTTATGGCTGAGTAATATTCCATTGTATATATGTACCACATATTCTTTATGCGTTCATCTATCGTTGGACACTTAGGTTGTTTCCATGTCCTGGCTATTATAAATAATGCTGCAATGAACATTGGGGTACATGTGTCCTTTTAGACCTACCTCCCAGAGTAATGAAAATAAAAACAAAAATAAACAAATGGGACTTAATTAAACTTAAAAGCTTTTGCACAGCAAAGGAAACCATAAACAAGACAAAAAGACAACCCTCAGAATGGGAGAAAATATTTGCAAATGAATCAACAGACAAAGGATTAATCTCCAAAATATACAAACAGCTCATGGAGCTCAATATCAAGAAAACAAACAACCCAAATAAAAAATGAGTGGAAGACCTAAGTAGACATTTCCCCAAAGAAGACATACAGATGGCCAAGAGGCACATGAGAAGATGCTCAACATCGCTAATCATTAGAGGAATGCAAATCAAAACTACCATGAGGTATCACCTCACACTGGTCAGAATGGTCATCACCAGAAAATCTACAAACAGCAAATGCTGGAGAGAATGTGGAGAAAAGGAAACCCTTTTGTACCGTTGGTGGGAATGTAAATTGATACAGCCACTATGGAGAACAGTATGGAGGTTCCTTAAAAAACTAAAAATAGAACTACCATACGACCCAGCAATCCCGCTACTGGGCATATACCCTGAGAAAACCATAATTCAAAAGGACACATGTACCCCAATGTTCACTGCAGCACTGTTGCTTATTTCTCATCATTCCTCTACTCAGTGTGAGATGAACCAGCCTCTACCTACCCAGGGCTTAGAACTTTTCTTATGGAACTTCTCTCACTCTGAATAATGGTGATTAATTACTGGTGTACTTTTTCAATTGTCTCTGTGTCACTACAATGCTCTTGAGTATTTGAACTAATTCTTCTTAGCTTTGCTGCAAAATCAGAATATTGCCTTGGATGGCTCTTTTGTTTCTCCCACTTATTCATGCACATACAGAGATATATAAGAAATAACAATGAAGGATCAATGTTAGGCTGTATTTTTTATCAGTGAGTTTAATAGGCATGAATAAGAGAGAGGTGAAGACATAATCCCAGCCCCAAAGCTCAAATGGCATTTGTGTTTTTAAAACACTTTCAGACATACCAGGTCTTCTAGTGCAGCCACCAGAGAGCCATGCCTCATTCATTATTAGTTCACTTTCTAGGGAAGAAATGGAGACTCATTGTCTGAATCGCTTTCCTGAGATAAAAAGAGACCATGGAGACAGAGCTGGGATTCCATCTTGAAGCTAAAGATGCTCAATTAATAAAGTATTAAATTGAATTGTTATCAGTGATGCTATTGGACAGTTATTTACATTAAGATGTTATGTTTGTGTTTTTTTGCTTAGATGGTAAGAAGAGTGTCAGTTAAGAGAATTAAGATCATGATTAATACATACAAACTGGAATTTAAGTGCTGATTTCTATTTTACTGCTCCAATATACTGACTTATACAGTTACACTTTTGATGTGAAGTTATTTTAAGTCCCAAAAGAAAACATAGCAGCCAAAAATCAACACATTGTGAAATGTTCTTTGCCTACTAAAATTATGGGAAAAAAGTTTTAATTTCTATTTTAAAATTATGGTTTTAGCTTAAGAAAACAATCTGCTTAATAAAATACAGCAAAAAAGTACAATAACTATCAAGCCATACTTTGCCTCCAAAAAGATAATGCTAAAAGGTGACACATTAAAAAGTAAATGAACTAGTTAATTAAAAAGATAAACAGAAGTGTATATGGATATAAATAACAGCTGGTATCTGTAACTTACCCAACTTGGTCCCTGAAATAATTCAATGAAATAGGCATTATTATGCCTATATTTTGGATATGAAAACTGAAGCTTAGAGAGTTTAAATAATCAGACCAGCATGACACAGGTAGAAAGTACTTTAGCAAGAACTGAGCCCAGATGGGTATAATTCTAACATTTAATCCTAAGTACTAAATTAACTTCTTATATACCTAGTAACTAGGTCAATTATTAGGAAACACATATTCCTAATTGCTGGGATATTTTTCATATTTAACTCAGTCCTCAATTTCTAGTTTTAGGATTTAGATGAGTTTCTTAATGTCACCAGGTAAGTGACATTTTAAAACCAACCCTGGTAACTGTTAGGTTTTGCTTCATTTGCTTTGCTATTAGAAACAAGACAGGAATGCTGTCCATAATCTATTGATTGCCTTCTCCAGGAGCTGACTGTTATCACTCACAGTGGAATAAAACCTGATGAATTCCTGTGTAAACGGATTAGCCCTGGATGAATCAATAGAGTAACTTCTAAGGCAACCATCTCTGCATTCCATTGTCGACTGTGACAAATTTTGTCTGAGTCCTTTATGGATGCTTCAAAAGACAGTAGCACTAGTGAATTTCTCTTAAACTTTTAAATGGCACTGACAGAAAGGAAATATCTTCTGTGTATGCCTGACTTTGTTTTCCTTCCCTCTTATTAGTTAACCCTAAAAGTACAAATATAAACAAATGTAATCCCCAACGCTGCATCTGAACCAGGAGAAATCTGGAATTAATTGCCAAGTATTTTGGTTCCTGTAGCAGCTGTTACAAGTGTTTGATTTGGCCAGGGAAGAGAAAAGACACTGCATACCAATTTCGTGAGCCACGGTGAAGGCTGCATGGAGACCATCATCTTCAATCACAGCACAGCTGCGTTCAGGAGAACATATGGTCCCAACGTCTGCCATTCCCAGGGTGTCACATGAGTGATGCCCACATAAATCCTGCCCAGGAGAAAGAAAGAAATCATTAAAATCAATTTACATCCAGAAGGAGCCACCTTGTAGAGCCACTTGCTCACTCCAAATGTCAACACTGGGATATGTTTATGGTATCACCTGCTCAGCTCTGGAAACCTTCCAAAGACAAACTAATAGCATTGACTCTTCTAAACTTCTCTGGGTCCCAGAAGCACAGAAGGGACTCAATTACATTTTAAAAGATGTCATAAGATTGTGGCTTGTCCATTACAATAGCAGTCGCAGCCTTAACAAAGCTGTACTGTGTATATGCAGGCACATATGCCATGGATCACTTTCACATACAGTCACGCTTAGGAAAGCCTTAATATTCTGACCTAAATTCCAGCTAAATTTATCAGAAGCCAAGTCTAATAATTTGTTTTCCATCACAGGGGCAAATTGCAATCACCTATTTATGGCAGAATATAAATTTCCCAGTAATTTGGGTAAGAAGCTAAATTTTAATCTATAAGGGTAATTCCTCAAAAGATCATCTCTTAATTACCAAATTGAGTTGTAATTTCATAGGTTGTGTCTTCAGAAATGTATACACTCTTTCCCACAGTATTTAATGTAGTGTTTTTCAACCTGATCAATTCTCAGAAAATATATGTAATATACTGTATTTATATAAATGAGCATACATGTTCTCCTGGAGAGAAATTGCATAGCTTTTAAGAGATTCTCAAAGGGGAACATGATCACACCTCACTAATGGTTAATATGATCAAATTAGATGAAAGAGACATCAACAAGACAATTTTAAATTACAAAGCATATAGAGAAAATATAAGCCAAATTTTTTGACATGATAGATTTGTAATGATAAGCTTTCCATTAAGTGCTATTTGAGTATTAATGGACATTAGACTTTCTTGTATTTGACTCCTGTTTTCAATGAAAATTAATTGACAGTATATATATTTCTATCCAAAGCAAAAGCCATAAGTGAATAACTGCAGGAGCATTTTTAAAAAATATTAATTACTGTGAAAAATGACTACTTACTAGTTGAAATAAGTGTTCTCTCTGTTGCAGTTATTATCTTTGTGTCTCCAACTACCACAATGCCTGACTTATAATAGGAACTCAACAAACATTTGCTTAATTGAGGTGAATTCTGACATATAGTCAGATGCAATGTAGACCTCACATAATTTTATTTTTTACTTTTTTTTTTTGATGACATGGAGCTAATATTTTTATTCTCCCAGGACAAAGAGAAGAGATGGTTATCCTATACAGATTTTTGCCTTACTGAACATTGTCACATACCTTTAATATGCTGTATGCTAGCAAGACCTCAACAGACTGCAGGAAGCCAGCACGAGATATTATTACTACATAACTAATGCCGCCTAGTCAATGTCAACACTCTTCTAACTTTTCTCTGCATAAAAAGCTGCATAAAAGTCCAGTTAAGGTGAATAATATTTAAAAGGTATATCCTACGATCTCCCTAGTACATTTTCAGGTCCTTATTGTGTTCCGTATATTATGAGATCCCAGCTGTGATGAATTGCACTGTGGCCGCCATATTATTATAGCTGCAGACAGTAGAAATCTCAGCCAAGTAGCCTCGGTGAATCCAGTCCCCAAACCAACAATAGCCTCCCAATGTCTCCTGGGCATCCTCATATGTCATCCATGGGATCTCAAATTACAGCTGTTGAGAACAAATTAGTAGTTTTAAAAATTGAAATTGGAACACACTTTTGCATAACAATCAGTCTTTGAGATAATTATATAGTACAATACATGTTTTAATCCATTTTCCCCCCAGTCATTTTAGTAGCTTTAAGACCAAAGGCCCAGGTCATGGTTTAAGTGAACTACTGGACACTGTGGGTTATTTCTGCACATGCATATTTTTTTAAACCGTGTTTTATGTTTATCTTCACAATTTGGGGTTCAAATAACAAAACCAAAGAATTGTTTCCCCTTCTTACTCCTTACTTCATTAATAAGCTCGGATGAACAGCCACAGCTAATGGAAATGGCCCTCTTGTTCTGAATAGAGTTTAATGTGGATTCTTAATCTCTCTCTGTTTACTGCTAATCAATTGCTCATTAGAGCCCATCAAACCTCCTTGTCATCCTTGAATTGCATTAAATGCATTTGGCCCTTTGCCACGGAAATTTGTACATGTGACAAAATAATGAACAGAAGCAGTTATTTTTTTAATCACACTGATTAAACCCTTGACTGCATAGCCACAGACTATATTTCTGTAACTGTAATTATGTAAACTGGCAATCTTTCCACTTCACTCATGCAATTTCAAACCGTGGCAGCTCAGTTATGGTTTCTTCCTCAAGTTATACAACGAATGCCTGTATTTCTTTGGGAGGCAATGTTCACTCCATTGCATTAAAACTCAACTTGTGCATCAAATTATTAAGAATACAGCACATCACATTCATGTCTATTTTCTGATGGTGATTTATAACAACATTTACAGGTGCAAACCTTATTTGAAATTTATAGAAAACATTTTTTTTTAATTCAGAGAAAGAGTAAAGACACCATTGGGACAATAGCATTTATCTATCTGTCTGTCTGTCTGTCTGTCTCTCCGTCTGTCCACCCATCCATCTATCTTCCAAATCTGGAAGCAGGGGATACTAAAGAAATGTAAATCATATACAGTAGCCACATAAGAGGCAAACAAAATAAAAGTGCTCTCAAGAATTCTTCTGCTTAGTCAGTGTAAATCTGAAGAGAAGTTATATCTCTGCTATGTTAAAGATGGCTCTTTTTATGCAGGATTGATATCTTATCATGATATTGATATCGTGTAGACAACAATGCAATGGAAGATTTAATAAAATGTAAGGGTTGCAAGAGCATGCAGAGATTTAACTGGTGGGTTTGTGGTGTGGTCCTGGCCAGAAGCCAGGACTGGGACATTGTACCTAAAATAGAGCCGAGATAGTCAGCAAGCCCAACGAAGACTTGACAGGGTGGTCACTGACATGGTGACTAAGGGTGGTCATTTAGAGGATCATGAATATGGCCGTATCTGTGACTTATCGTGAAGTTTAGGAGGACTCACAGTACATCAGACCTATTCTTGTGGATGGAGTGGGGTTGGGGAGGGAGCCAGCAAAGTCTGCTACCTTGAGAAGCAGGTGCCCAGAAGCTAATACAACTTGGAAAATCCCAGTGGTCGGTACTGGGTGAGGAAAATGAACTAAGCCGATGTGAGTGTGCAAAGTGGAAGGCATAACAGGAGACGCAGGATTTCTAGTCTTGATGGGAGATTGGTCTCTCAGGTAGCATAAATGCGCTGAGGGAAGGAAGGAAACGTGAAGGCTGATAAGAGCAGATATCATCACAGCTGTGGTAACGGCAGCCAAAATGAAGGCAGGGTACCTTGTATGGGGGAATCTGGAGTTAAATAGCAGCATCTTCTATTTCTGCAGATATTACCCCCTGGTAAGGACAAGCTCAGAGCTCAAGGGAAGGGCAGAGAAGAGGGTTTAACTAGCCTCAGGTATCTACCTATCCGTCTACCAGATTCCTAGTGAAGAGGGATTTAGGGCTACCTAAACAGCAGCCCCCAATAGCAGAGATCTTGATTTGGACCTCAGCAGAAACTACATTAATAGGGTCTGTTAGGCCAACCATGACAATGACCCATGTTCTGCAGTCTCTGTCCATGCTTCTGGATACAACTAGGTAACACAAAAAACATGGAGCTCTGCTGGATTAGGGACCAAGGGATCCAGGTACACTTATTCCTAAAACAATTATTGTGTGTCCACAACCTGCCAGACACTGTGTGAAGTGCTGACAGTGTGGTGAATAAATACAATAAGATCTGATCCTGACCCTTAAGAAACATCATGATCTAGTGAGCAAAACAAGACATGTCAAGAAGGAAGCAGATTGAACAGGTTGCTGAGGGAGTTCAGAAGAGGAATTGCCAAGCTCTCCTTGGGGGAATCAATAAAGGTGTTTCAAAGGAGCTCAATGGATCTTGAGGGATGAAAAGGAGTCTGACAGTGTTAGAGGAAGGGTATTCAAAAAAGGAAAGACTCGTGAATATATCAGGGGTGGGAAAAGGCAGGGTCTGTTTTGGAAATGACAACATGTTTCTTGTGGCTGGAGTACAGGATAGACCTGGTGGAGGATGAACAGGGGAAGCTGGAAAGGTAGCCTGGGCCCGGAGTTCCAAGATAGGGAACTTATCCTGGTAAATATGAGATAAGAAGAAGAGAAAGGAAAGATGGAGCACATTGGAGATTGAGGGGAATAGATGCTCAGAAGAGTCGTCGTTCTGGAGAATGGAGATGGAAGCTGATAAGAGATAGTGATGCTTTAAATTCAACTCTATTAATTAGATTCATTGCGTGAATTATTTATACGCTTTGAGGCTACTTTCCTTCATCAATAGCATTAGGAACTTGGACCAGGTGGTTTATGGGTTTGTTCCAGCTACACACATGTTGAGATTAAGGGAAAACACTTCAATTAATAGATGGAGAAATTAAAGCTCAGGGGTCATTAGTGTCCAAAATCAGAAGCTTGAGACTGGTGGAGCTGCAATTCAAACCTATATCTAAACACTCCAATTCCTGAACTTACTTCACCAAGGTGCAGTTAAATCATCACCTGTGTTTCCCCCGACATTACTCTTATCTTTCACATTCATAATCTCTACTTGGTCAAGCAAATTCCTTGGTTGTAACAAATAACACAGTCTTTCTCTCTGTGGTATATCTGGTGGAACTCAATAATCTAGAGGCACAGAAAAATACAAAATGCACTGAGAAAGGAATTCCAGAAAGCAAGAAACTGGAAGTGATGGGTAAGAAACCTGGTGACATCATTAACTTGCCTGTCTCTCACCTGCCGCATCAGATCAGTCACTGTAAGTCACTGACTCCATCTACCAAATGCCTCATGTAGATGTCCTCTCTTTCTTGTTCCTTCCATTGTTCCTTCCTGCCTGGACTATCACCTAAGGCTTCTAAAT